TTACAGTTATCTTCAATAATTTATTACTTTTTATTTGCTGAAGTTTAGACAATATCTTAACAAAAGTATAATAACTACATATAAAAAGTATGAAAATACTGTTAGAGAAACCTAAAGTTTAGAGATAAGTACTTATGATTATCTTTAAAAATGCCTTACTATAAAAATTTGAACTTAAGTTAATCATATCTTAAAAACTGTAGAAAAACTTTGATTTTATCCGTTATACTATCTCTAAGAATCTATTTAATCTTTCACAACTATTACTACCATGAAGAGAAGGTCGCGGTGTGAGTTTTTGGCGCCCTGGGCGAAATTATATCAGGCTTCTCTTACATCCTTGAACTGGATTTTCTATCCAATCACCTAAAAGTGTCCATGTTTTCAGCAAAAAATGACTACAATTAACTGTTAAAAACTTGTATTTCATGTTATTCCATGTATTGTAATAAGCATAATTGCCTAAAAAGATATTTTAATTATAAAAATAAAAAATTTAAAAATAATGATTTTTTAAATATTTTTATGTTAGGTGGTTATGAAATTGGTTTTCTCCCAAATTCCTGACATAAGAATTGATGCGTATTTATAAGTGATAAACTTATCTAACCCTAAAATTTACATTTCCATGAAAATAATTGGAGCTATCAGCAGGTTTCTTTATTTTAAACATAAATGTTTTGAAAGTAAGAAACATTAAGATTGTCACTGATAAATATGTATCAATTCCTATAACAGAGGTCTGGGAGAAAAACACAGTTTTATAACAACTTCAAATGAATAATATTTGAAGAATAGTTTTTTTTATAAATAAAATAATATAAAATAAAATCGAGGCAGACTTGAAGGGTTTAGGTGTACACCGCTTGAGAAAATATGCGAGGGACAGAGCCGAATGGAAAAAGCTGTTGATGGAGGCCAGGGTTCTATGGACAGTATGTAGTGGCAGTTTGTGAGTGAGTGAGTATAAAATAAATAATATGAAACAAATCTTAAATAATATAAAATCTTAGATTATAATCCTATGTCACTACAAATGAGCAATATTAAAATTAAATCAGGAACTTATATCTAAACATAAATTTAGAAAAAAGGAACAGCATAAGAAAATAATATTGTGAGATCATTGCTATTCCAATTAAAAAAAAGAAGAAAACGTGCTTATTGATACTGATAATGAAAAACTGTCGAAATCATTAAGATAAGGAAAACTATCATTAAGATAAGGAAAACTAGCATCTTGTTTTTCTGTTAATCATAGTCAATTTTTTTTTTCTTCTAACTACAGATACCTTGAAAATTTAGTTGCTTTAAAAACCCTAAATAATGCTGTATAGTAATTTGAAATTTATTTTGTGATGAATCCATAAAGTGAATCTCGATCTTCTTAGTCTTGCTACAACAGGTTGGTGACCTATAAGGTAACCAGTCCTTCCTACCCTAGTGAGTGTATTTCAGGATGTCGAACCCAAATAAATAAATCTGAATCATAGTATGCACATGTTATTGTAATAAACATAAAAAAGTTAGAGGTAATGAATCATAAAAACATTTTAAAAAAGGAACTTATTAAAGGTTTACATACAATAATTTGTACAAAACTATACTAACTCTTTATTTCGTCAATAACAAGGCTTATATTTAAATACATTAGGAAATTTGCTCTTGTTTTTACATGTGTTTCATTTTTTTTTTAGTAAATGAAATCATAACTGTATAGTTACCCTATTTTAATAATTCACAATTTATATAATGAGATGCATTTACAAATTATTTTTCTTCCAGAATCAAAGTTCAAAATTTGTTAGTTTAAAATTGTGGAATAGAACCACTTCCTATCTACAGTTTTACTTTATTTTCCATTAACTGCAGATAATTTCTGTTGGTACCACTTTGGAAAAATACCTCAAATGCTGTTAGAGTGGAAATATCATCAAGAATTCATGCCACGACATTTATTTAGTTTATATTCACGATTGGTTGAATTATGACGTATTATGGTGAATTATGTTTATTATTAAATTTTGAACAATATATTTAGCTTGATTATTTTTTTAAAATTGTTATGAAGCTTTTTTTAAATGAAAAATCAGTAGTTTTATGGGATATTCTCTAATTGTTTCACTTTATTTTTAGCCTTTTTACTAAACCTCCCTCCTAATGACATGTTAAAAGTATCCTAACCTCATATTTCAAATCACAACATTAAAATATCTAATCTGAAGGATTTGAACAATAAAAAATGCATAAATAAACATCCAATAGTATCTTTTTAATATATACAGAGACAGTTAGTGTTACAATCTGTGATGGTGCTTATTCCCTATTTTGGTGTAGCATTTTAAGTATACAGCCCCATAACTTCTAGGATTGCATCAGAAAATTTATATAATTTAAAGGAAATTAAATAAAATGTAAAATTCATGAGGAAATTTTAATTAATTCAAAATTTAACTATTCAAGAAAATAAAATAAAAATTAGGGGTAAGGAATACTTTAGAGGTTTACAGAAAATACTCTTTTCAAAATCTCTTAATAGGCTTCTGAATTTTTTTTTATAAAATATTACTTTAGCTTGAATAAAGATTTATTATACAATGGATCAAAAAAGTATGGCCACACTTAACTTCTTTCAGGTTTCATTGCAAAAGAATCTGAAATCGATTTGCTAAATATTTTTATTTAATAAAATATTTTGGAAAATACATAATTGGAGTAAAAATATTATTGTATAAAAAGTATTGGCACACTTTAATTTAAGGTTTATTTCCTAAACTGGAAATTTAGTGATATTGTAACATCATACCATTGGCATCTATGGCATCCTGGAATCTTCTTGGTATCAACAAAACAAAATTTTGAGTTAAGTTCTGTACAATTTTATGTCGTTCCTCTGAAGAAGTTTCTTTTAAATAATTTTTAAAGAAATTTTATTTTTTTTACTTTCAATTCCAACATTTACCATCGGTATTCTATGACATTTATTTCCAGAGACTGTGGTGGCGTTTTCAATTGGCTAGGGACATTGTACACCATCCATTCTTTTGTTTTACTTGGTGTGTGCTTGGGGTCATTGTCCTGTTGGAACATAAATGCATCTTTGATCCTTAGATTTTTGGCTATACTTATTAAATTATTTCACAAAATGTGGACATATAGTTCGACATTCATAATATCATCAATAAAGGTCAATGCCATTCCATGACATGCCCTCCCAAACCTGGACACTTCCACCTCGATGTTTTACAGGAGGCCCCACATAAAAGGAGGCCCCACATTCACCTCAGTAATAAAAGGTTTTTTCCATTGGAACATGCCATAATAATTGTATGTATGAATTATATTTCTAACAGAAGGTGGTATTTGAAGTAGATGCAACCTCTTCTGCTATCTGAGTGGATGATAAAGTGTGATTTTGCTCAACACTTTGATGGATATACCTTTGTGCCCTTCCATTTAATTTTGTTGGCCATTGTGAATGGTTTTTATTTAACACTTTCTAAACTTTTGTGCAATATTCTGAACACTATTATAATCCATTTCTCATTTATTTGGTATTTTTCGGTAGCTAAGTCCATTAGAATGTAATTTAATGATTTTTTTTTACACTGACACAGTATTGACTAGTTTACCCATGTTGTTACGGTAAATATACAGCAAAGACTGATTTTTATTGTTGTCATTGTATTATCGTCAGTTGTCAATCTCTTGGAAGAAAAAGGATTGATTTGTTTTGACTGAAGCTAATAGTAAACATTTAAAACTGTGCCAATACTTTTTTGATCCTCAGAATTTACTCTTTATTTTTACTTTAAACATAGCTTTTGAATTCTTAACATGGATTGCTTCTAAAATATAACAATCAAAGACCAATTTTTTATATAAATATTATTTCTGGAAAATATCTTAATTCTATTGAGATTTTCATAAAAAGTACCAAACTTTTTTGACCCACTGTATGTTCCTAATTTTATTTTACTATTAAATATTCACAATCAACTAACTTTTAATTACAACTGCCAACTTATATATTATATTATTTATTTATTTTTTGGACCCTTAAGATAACAATATACTTTATGTACAAAACTAATAAGATATATTCAAAGAAATACCTAGAGATAGGTAAGTTTGAATAGGTTAGGATAATGCAAATTTTGAACAGCCAACAGTCATGTTCTAAAATTTGAATCTGATCCACTATCCGAATACACCATTAGTAATTGAAATTGAGATATCAAATCATAATATCTACATAGACTTCATGTTTATATTTGTTAATTTATCCATATTTAAAAAAAGAAACTGCTCTGAAAATATTATGATGATAAGATCTTGATTTAAGATCTCAAATGTTACATATTTATTAATAATTTATCCTAACAATCACATAATGTTTTTATACATCTTCCATGGCATATGAATGCAAGATATAAATAACTCATTAATTTGTGTTCATAATTAACCATAAGATTGGTAAATGTCTTTTTGATTACATCAATCACCAACTAAATCTATGATTATAAAACTAAAAACATATAAAGTGTATCCTATTTATTATTTATGAATACAAGAAATTAAAGCACTAGAAGATGAATAAATCAACAGTACCACATAAAAATAGTTTACTTGAATAAAAATTCAGGTTTTCATGTCTAAAATTTGAATTCATTATAAAAAATTATTAGAAATTATGAAATTCTTTAATTTGTAGAATCAAATAGAAATCTGAATTGAAACACAAACTTTGGAAATAACAATATATTTTTCCTTAGTTTAAAAATACATATATAAAGTAAACAAAAGCTGATATTTAATTAAATCAAATTATGAAACATTAATTATTATTTTATTAATAATATGTCTAATGAAAAAAAATTCAAAAATTATATTTCACAAGTTTTATAAAAAATGAAAATTTTTAGTCATTCTTTCACTGTTTCAAATCAATATTTAATTTGATTATTTTAAACATGAAATTACACATCTTCAAGTAATTGTTATTTTTTTCTAATCCTTTCACTCCTGTACAAATAAGTGTACCAGTAAAATAAATTAATTGCCAAAAAACACAGAGGAAATACAATCCTTGAAGCTCTATCTATTTTTGAAACACTGTTAAATCTTGGTGTCCTTTTCCGTCTCCTTTTTGAATGAGGTTTCTTTGTCTGAGGTGGTGAAACAGACCTTTCAGCTACCTCTTCTGGATTTGGACAACCTAAAATACAATATTATTAAATATATTTCTTTATGAAAGCTACTTATTTTAAGTAATTGTTTATATAAATAAATTTTTCTTTGTGAATCGATTCATGAACTTTACCAAACTGTTTTTAGATTATATCTTATTTCAACATTTATGAAAATAAAAAATTAAGATTAACTATCTCATTAGTCATAATGGTTATGTCTTTCAAGTATTAAGAGAATACATATTAAATTGCTAATTTTAAGTTTTGGCGCATATTATTCCCTTTCTTTTAAAGGCTTATTATATGAGTATAGAAAACTTATCTCATGAGTATGCTCTATCAAAAAGTTGTTAGCTAGTAATTGGTCAAACCAGCATATAATTTTCATGGTGTTAATGATTGAAACGGAGCTAGGTCAGAGACTAGAATATTTAAAGAACATATTGGATATGATTATAACGATTTAAAGAAAAGATATGCTGTCAATAAGTGTTTCAGGCATGCTGAATTCCCCATCAATTCTTTAAATGCATAAGAAACTTCACCCTATCATTGCTATCAGCCTTACACCAATGGCCAACACTTTCCTAATATACAAAATCAAGTGCTCCTCTAAATTAAAGGAAACTATCTGTTAGCTGTAAAATCTGCACTTACTACTAAATTGTTTACTCCACTCTGTACCTTGCACTAAATTTGACTGAGAATTTTGTTTCTTAATGGCTATTCTTGAAAGTTTATTAAATTAGCTCTTTTTTCTAAAGTTCAGATCTTACACCTATGATCCTGAACCACATTTAATGAAAGTTATTGAAGTCCCTTTCTCCACTCCTTCCCCTTGACACACTAGATTATAACAAAATAAACAGTGATAAATATAAATTCAAGATTTTGTACCCAAGCAAGAAGATAGTCCAGTGGTCCATGATTCTCTTCTTCCATTTAATGAAGAAATAGTACAAGCTGATAATGGGATAACCTGAAATAAATTTCACTACCTTTAATATAATAAAATGTGTATGTCTCTTAAGAAATATATGTATGATTCTGTAGACATACTTATGACAATTTATTTATGAGTTAATTATTTTTCAATCTGTTAACTAAACAAAATACTATTGGGCCAAACGTATAATTCATTAAATAATCAGCTAAAATTAATATTAATTAGCTGCATACAAAATAATTAGAAATAATACAGTCCCTATGTTATGGTAGGCAACATAACTTTTGAATACACTACTTGCAAGTTTTGATAAAACTTAATCATTCAGACCCCAGCAATATAGATTATTTTTAACATTAACAAATGTCTTCTATATTTTGGTTTATATTAGATTATCATGGAATCTGATAATGAATCTAATATTAAATTTATTTAACATGTTTGCGTATACATATATTATCTCTTTTTCATATTCTTCTTTATTGTATTCAATTATCAGGTTATTAAAGAGAAAAGATTTTATTTTGTTTTGTTTGTGATAGTTCATGAAATTCGGCTGGTTAGAGTAGTTTTTTTTATTATTAACCAGTATTCAGATTTTTCAACAATTAGCCAGTACACTGCACAGAACTAAGAAATGTATTTAAGAATGGACAATGTTTATGTCTCAGTTAAGGGATAGCTAGTTTATTATTGATATACTTATATATTTTATTTTTTAAAGGGAGATTTACCTCTAAATAGGTGTTTTCTAAATTGCTGGGATGATTTTGAGATTTCTTCCTTCCAGTGCTAGATGAGCTTGATTTTCTTCCATTCTAAAATATTTTAATTTATGATATTTAAAAATATTTATAGAATGAATCATTAGTTGATTGGGACAAAAATTCACCCTTTCTGTCAGATGGGAGTCATTGGTTGTCCAAACTTCATCATCTGAGCTTGATTCATCAGAACTAAGATCTGAACTAAAATAGCATTCTCCAGATCCATATTTTGTAAAATAGTGAACTACTGCAAACTAAAAATTGAATATTAGTAAATTATTTAAGTTTTATATAATTGTTAACAACACAGACCAGGTTTATTTGGATAAAATGTTACATAGATATATCAAACCTGAATAATTGTTGCAAATATAAATACAAAAGACAAAAAAACAAAAAAGTCTAATGCTGTAGGATAAGGAACTTTAGGTAAATCAGTCCTAGCTTCTAGTCCCAAGAATGTCATCGTGAGTACAGTTGTTATTCCTGCAAAAAAAAAAAAGAATTGTAACTAATGCAGCAAAGGTGAAAACCAAAGAAATGCTTCAGGCTAATAAACATTTTTTACATATTTAGATAATCCATAGAACATAAAGATGGTCAAAAGAAAATTTAAGTTTGTTTATTATAAAACTTATTTATTTTTTAATTATTTATATGTACATGCAAATCTCAGAAAAAATATCAGATTTTTTTTTTATATTTACTTAATTACTTATAATCTAGTTAGTTTATTTAAGAAATACAGTATATACATAATTGTATGTAATATACAGTGGGCAAAAAGAGTATTCGTAGACCCCGTTTTTTGGTCAAAATGGTTCACTATAATTTTTTAACTTTAAATCATGGCAGATATGAATCACCAAATTTATTTTGAGTTTATTTTATGTAATGCCAAAATTTAAAATCTGATACAACTTTTATAACATTAATTTTTCAATAATTTGTACACAAAAAAAAAATTCGTGCACTAGAGCAAATAATTATGATACGATAATTGCTGGTATTAAAACAGTGTTTCAGCTTTCTATTTATAATCCATTGCTTCAGTAGATTAAAGGATAAAACTGCATGAGAAATTGCTTATTTAGTTCTTAATTTAATTGTACTTAAATTTGCAAAAATTCCGAAATTAAGTGCTCAAGAGGTTTCAGCTCACATCGCGTCAGCTTATGGGAAATCTGTTATACCCCAAACCATGAGGAATTGGCTACATGAAGCAGGCTCTATTTGGCTATAGAGGCAGAGTGATAATAAAAAACCTTTTATAAACAAAATAAAAGAAAAAAAAGATTGGAGTTGGCGCGAGAACATCCCAACACGCTTTGGGAAAATGTGTTGTTTTCGGATGAAACCAAGTATAATATATTAGGATTTGATGAAAAAAAATATGTTTGGAGGAAATAAGGAAAGGCATTTGAACCCTAAAATCTACAACCCACAATGAAGCACAGAGGGGTTTGGAGCTGTATAAGAGACAAAGGAGTTTGTGAACTAGATTTTATTGATGGAATTATGAATGCTGGCAAATATGTGAATGTGTTGCGATGCAATTGAAATAAAAGTGTGTGAAAGTTAGGAATGGAGAATACATGTATGTTTCAGCAGGACAATGATTCCAAGCACACGGCCATAAAACCAAACAATGGTTGCTGTATAATGTTAAAAAAAATCTTAAAACATCGCGAACATCACCGGATCTTAATCCAATTGAAAATTTATGGACGTTGCTGGAATTACAAATCCGAAAATATTATTGTTCTTCTTGGAATGACTTAATAAACAATCTTAAAAAAGCTTGGGAAGAAATTGGACCAGAGACCAAGAGGCTCGTGGAACAGATGACAAGAAGACTCAATACTGTGATAAACGTGAAAGGGTACCCTAAAATATTGAGATTAATATTTATTATGTTTTCTTTAGGTTAGTTAAATGTACAAAAATTTTTATTGCGCTCCATATTTGAAAATTTTTTATACAATATGAGTTATAAAATTTTCTTTTTTTGTACAATTAATGCAAAATGAAGTTCTAATTGTTTTCTATAGTTACTTCATGTTGAACACATAAATAAAATGATGTTTGACTAAAATATATGGTGTACGAATACTTTTTTTGGCCACTGTAGATGTATAATATGTAGGTGTATAATAGTTGCTAATAATATGTATAATAATACTCTGGTCTATGAATCAGAAATCCTAGTTGAAACTGCTCTATAAGCTGTTATCAAAGTAGTTTTTTGAAGCACTTTAAACAAGATGTAGTAAATTAATGTAGTGGATTATCTGAATAAGAAAAAGAATTTTTAAATAGATCATCTGCTAAAGAAATGGAAAATAAGTGTAAGAAATGCCATTTGCTAAGGTAAATGTTGGATAAAGAAATGTGAAATAAAGAGAGAATACTAAAACAAGTAGACTTAAAAGATAGTGTTATACTTGACATACAACTACCATTTTATTCATTATTTTAAGATGTTCTGTTTTTTTTTAAATAAGATTTTTTAAAAATGGTTAAGACTGAAAAATTAAAAATTAAAATAAAAACTATTTCGTTTGTTAAAAAGATTTTTATTTGTGAAATGTGCTTGTGATAATATTTGTGAACCTTTCAACCATAATATATCATTGATTAATTGTAAAATTAAATAAAGACCCCACTTATTATGAACAACCTTGTTTTGTTTATAATAAAAATATAGAGCTCATAATATAATTAAATAATTTTTTCTTTTGGGTATCAATAGATGAATTTTTGATTATTTCTAGATTACTACATAGATATTTATAGTAGCTTACCTAGTGATACTCTATCTGCAGTTGCCTCTCTGTTCAACCAAAAAGAAACCCACGACAAAACCACAAGAAGAACACATGGTCCATAAACTTGTATCAAAAAATTTCCCATGTGTCTCTGCAGGTGAAAGTTGATCAGCAGCATTGAGTAGTTACCTTTGAACATTGTTATTATTATTGTTATAATTATGATTGATTATATTTATTTATTTTAATAATCAATGGTTTTTATTTCAATGGTAAATAGTTTTTGTTTGATGATCTAGCATTAAATAACAAGTAGACATTAATTTAGAATATAAAATTCTTATATAAAAAAATGTATATAGAGAAACAGGAATGTTCAAGTCATTTCTTATTTTTAAAATAAATAATAAAAAGCATGAGCAGCAGTGCTCTGTTCTAAGGCCAGTCATATTTTCTTCTTATTTTTGATTGAAACCAGATGAAAAGGGATAAAATTGTTTCATTAATGCTGAACTGAAAAAACTTGATTGAAATTTGTTTTAGAGTTACAAATTATTGCACAATAGTTTATTATTTCCAAAATGTTATAAATCAAATGTGTATGGCATATTCTCACACTTGACTTTCCTTACAATATTGGGGCAAATTTAAAAGGTAAGATTGGATCCTAAAACAGATAAAAAATGCAACCCCACCACCCACTGATGACTTTGAATACAGTGAAAATATCTATAATGTTCAAAGAAAATAGATAATAATTAGATACCATGTACACAACTAAGTTTTTAGTAATATCCTTTTAATAAATCTTTTTTTTAGCATTTAGGAAATTGAATCACCTCTGAAATATATACTAATAAAAATCATCAAAACTGTTTGTTTTTTGTAATTATTCTTCTACCATGGCACTACAAATCGTGTAGAGTCAGGGCTACTAGCGGATCCAGGATTAAATTTTGGGCTTCAGCTCAAAATCTTTTTTTTCATATGTACGACAATAATTTTTTTTTTTTTTTTTAAATGAAAGAAATTAACTATCTATATGAAATAGTGTTTAAGTGATTCTTGAAGTTCTATGAAATGTACTCACTCGGACAATAATACTTTAAGAGATAGTTTTTAATATTGATTTCTATAAAACATGGTTATATTTAACTATTTTTGGGGGGAAGGGAGGGCTTCAGCCTGAAAGCCCCATCTTCCCCCTCGTAGATCCGTTTTATATACAATCTGATTTTAAAAAATATAAAACTAATATCTACGATATACTGAATTTTCAAAGGAAGGGTGAATTAATTTGAATTAAATGCAAATATTTTTAATGAAGAAAAAGGTAAAGAGTTGCTCCTGGCCAAATACACAACAGGACGAAGACAACTTACACTTTCTTGCTTAATATCTCATTCTTACAGGATTCAGAAAAATTAATCAGACAATACAATAAAAAAGTAGATTCAGATTATGTAAGTAGATAGCAATGGAAATGGCTAGAAATAACTGGTCAGATAATTTAAAATGGTTTGGAGATTTAAACAATTTAGGAATTATAAATAACCAAATGTGAATAATTGAGATGTATAGGTAAAAATATATCTGAAGTATCTGATAGGAATGTCCGTCCTCAACCATGACACATACTATTTGTATTTGTGTACTAACCTGCAAACCACTTTGAGTATTAAATGTTATTATTAACTTGCTTATTACCCAATAAACTCGTTCAGAGTAGACTAAGACCTAGGACATTGTTAAGGTTGGAAGTTGGCTGCTTCTCTTCTTCAGCATGTTATAATTTTGTGAACACCAAATTACCCTCTCATGGTGGGCCATATGTGATTTGCATTTTTAATGTAAACAATTTGCACAGCATAAATAAATATAACAATATTATTGGTGAAAACATTGGTTAAGATCAATCAGCATGTTTGACGGGTTTATTTGCTAGTGGCATTCATTGAAATATATAGGATCTCGATTGCTTTGTTTTAATGCCCTTCTCCCCCCAATATTTCTTATCTGAAAATCTGTTCTTCCTTGGACTACAGGTACAATGAAGTTAATAACTCCAGATGAGAACTCTATTCTGAATCCCAATTATACAAAGGTGCCACCAAACACATCATGTTATGGGCAAGAGATGGTTTAATAAGTAATTATGTAAGTTGAGTAACAATTACATAATCTTTAATAATGTTAATGGGACAATAAGAACATGGACGGAACAGAGGCATTGCCTGCCCAAAATGAAAGTCAGCTGTTCTTTTAGAGAATTAATGAGGATAGGGCAGCTTTCAGGCCCAGAGTGAGGAGATTCACATCAGTCTATTCTGACTCTCACATCATTGAGGAGTGTTTTTTGTACTATAGAGAAATTAAAAAAAATATGTATCCCGTCAGGTTTGTAAGGCCTTCAGTTATAATGAACAATAACATTGCAATATTTCTATAAATTAAAGTTCCTTATACCATAAATTTACTATATTTGTTATTATTGGTATTTCTCTGATATCAGGTCGGAACCGACTGCTATCTGCCAATGCTTATAACCTGGACACAGATAATTCTGATAAGGCACTTACACTAGCGGATTCAGGATTTAATTTGGGGGAGGCTTCAGATTTTTTTCATAAAAATAACGATAATTACTTTGGAAAAAAAGAAAGAAACTAACTACCTATATGAAATAGTGTTTAAATGATTCCTAAAGTACTTTTAAATGTAATTACACGAACAATAATACTTTAAGAGATAATTTTTTTATATTTTTTTCCCTAAAACATTGTTGTATTTTACCATTTCGGAAGGAGGAGGGCTTCAACCTTAAACCCTCTCTCCGTAGATCCGCCCGTGGGCACTCATAATTCCTATCTTCTTACTCATGTTTATTGGATTATATTCATATTATTGAAATTGTTAACAAAAACAAAAACTAATGAAATAATAAAAAATACTTTTATTTTACAACATATATATTAACTTAAGTATATTTCGATGTATAAATCTTAGAACATGAAGCGTAAAACGAATCTTTCCTTCAGTTCACAATGAACAAATCAAGTTGACATTAAGAAGGGCAAAGCCGGAGCACCCGGGCCTACGGTACTTAAGCTAAGTTTACTAAGATGGAAGATAAGTGTAAGTCAGTTAGACTTGGAGTATAAATCCATTGTGGTATTTTCGGGATATTCCCGTCCTATTTGCTAGATGGATGTTCAACCCTATCCGAACTCCTAAGCCAAATCTTCAAGTTTATTTTTAGCCAATTGCCATTGTAGAATATTTCAAAACAAAAGTAGATAATTAATAATTTTACTGAAATTATTATTATTATTGTTATTCGTTGTATATTAAGACTATTAATGTTAGAAAATATTACATTATCGAAGGTCATTGAGGAAGAATGGGGTTGCATTTTATTTTTGTGTTGTAACCTCTGAAAGACAATTGTGGAGATACTTATTGAGAAAAAGGAAACTCTTATAATATAAATATATATATAAATAATCAAATTAATTTCCCAATTATATAATATTACAATATTTTTTATAATTCGACCTTTGTTTATTATAACTTGAAGTATTAATTATAGTCCGGTAATAGGTCACTAAATACACTTAAATAAGCTAAAACAACTTCTGTTTATTCCTTTTATTCAAACTTTTCGATCCCTGTTTTTTTAACATAAATAATGGAGTCTTCTTCAGTTTTTTAATTTAGCATGGATACTCTAAGCCGAGCAGCACGCTGACAGACCCAACAGTACCGCCACAAGGACATCAAGCTACTGGTTAATAAAGAAAAAAGTAATAAATATATAATATATATCTTAACTCCATTAATATAAGTGAATCGTAAACAATTTTTTTTCGACGATTCTCATCAAGACAAGATACTAATGATTGGTTAAAAATTCCTTTATAGTGGTCAGTGTAAATAGGAGTGCCTGATGATTGAATTGAAATCATGATTTAGAGGAAAATATAAAGATAATCGGAAAAATAAATAGAAACTACTCTAATTGAACCTATGACTAGTATTAAGATCAACTAAAAAAGAGATTTTTATCTATTACTTCCCTATCTTACTATTTCTGACACTGAGGAATTGTTGTAGAGATGCAACCAAACGTATTGTAACCAGAATGGGAAGGTCGAGATTCTTTGCGTAGGTTCATTGCGAAATAAATTTCAACCCACTCTTTATAAGGAGAATTTAATTTATTAAGGGCGGATCAAGGAGTAGCAGGAGGGAAGAGGAGCCAAAAGCTCTGTGCTGGATCCCGAGCTGTAGAAATATTAAATAAATGATTTTATACACCGCAGGCTAATTTACAGAGAGAGAGAGAGAGAAGTACAGCAAAACTGTACAGCTGCTTAAACATGATGAGTTGCTAAATGATCCAGTACACTGATCAGTCTTAATTCGATAATATTTAGTAAGAAAGAACAAAAAGGATAAAGTTCAGCGGGACCATCATCCAAAGTACCAAAGTAGTTTATTTATTCATTTTTATAAACCTTTTCGTTATAATATTTTCTTCTTTCTTACAACTGTACACAGATTTCATAACGAAGTGGCAAGAACTAATAGAAGTGATGAGCATGGAATGGCCGAGTATGTTGGGGCGTGGGACATATAGTAATTTTCATTACTAGTCGGTTCCGGATTTCGACATTCCCAATGGTAAGTATGCGGCTGCATCCTCAAGGTAGCCGTCAGGAGTTGACAAAAAGGACCACGATAGGGTCCACTTGGCGGACTAGTTCCCTCAACCAGTGCCAGTATCAGTCCCAGTAAGACAGGTAATTGTGCAGGATTCCTAATGAGCCCAAAGTTAAAGATTCCGCCTCACTCTGCAGATAGCTGGTTTCCATACCCCACATTTTCAAATACTCAGCAGTTGAAAGTGGAATAGCTCCTCTACTCCCGAACCAAAGTTCCTGAACCGTGAATTCTCTCTCACCAAATTCCTCTCTTTATTTTCCCTGTAGGTACGGAATGAATTTTTTGTAGATGTTCTCAGTTTCTTTTTGTATTTTGTGATTTTGATCCTCGTTCTTAGTCTTAAATCTAATGGTTGGACCTACTAACACAGCCTCTTTTCTTTTTGCACTATAGGCTGAGGGAAACTGAATTACAAACGATGAAACCTTTCCAACAGCAACAAATATTAATTTA